ACCCTCCGACCAGCCGTGCTGAGTGCCCCAAGCCCGTCCCCCCTCTCCTCCCCTTAAAGGGGCCTGTACCCCGCCCGCCCTCCCTCCCTCCGTCTCTCTCTCTCTCCTCTTCTTCTCTCTCTCTTTCTCCCTCTCCCTCTCTCTCTCCCTCTCTCTCCCCCCCGCCTCTCTCAGCAGCTGGCAGGGGTGCTCTTCTCTCCAATAAAGCCTGTGTCCTGTGTCCCGGCCTCCCGGCCTCCCGGCCTCCCGCCCCCTCTGTTTCATCTTTCCCCGAGGCCCCGCCCAGGCCCGCAGAATGAGCATGCTGACCAGCCGCACGCAGAGCCCACGTCGGGACCAAAGGGCCCGGCAGGACTGGCCTTGGGGCGGACCTGTCAGAGCAGAGGGCCTGCTGTCTGGGGGGCCCGAAACTGACGCCCCTTATCAGAAAGGCCCCCATGAGGAGGGGACCTTGCCCCCCATGCCCACCCCCAGCCCTTGGACACGGGAACCTAGCCCAGCGATCACCGCAGGAGGAGGCATGATCGATTCCCAGCTCCTGGGTTGGCGCCTTCTTGGTCAACGAGCCTTTCCTTTCTCCGAACTTCTTGCCCTGGCCGGTGTGGCTCAGTGGACAGAGCCTCGGCCTGCAGACTGAGGGTCCCAGGTTTGATTCCGGTCAAGGGCATGACCTTGGTTGCAGGCACATCCCCAGTGGAGGGTGTTATAGTTATATTAGTGTGATGATTTAAGGATTTAAAACAGTGTAAGAATAATTACTTGTGTGATTTAAACTAGGAATGAAAACATTTACTTTTATGAGTGATTTATAGTTTAAGTGTGAATTGTATTTCTGATCTTATTCTGATTTTAAGTAAAAGAAATTATTTGAAATGTGTTTTAGGTTTAGTATAAGTAACTCCATATAATGTGACTTGAATCCATTTTGTGAAACTTAGTTTTAAAACTGACTTTGAGCCCCTAACTGTGTGAACGCCCTAACATGTGTTTATTTGGTCTCCCATCCAAGTACTAACCAGGCCCGACCCTGCTTAGCTTCCGAGATCAGACGAGATCGGGCGCGTTCAGGGTGGTATGGCCGTAGACACATGTGCTTATTTGGAAAGTTGTAACTGTGTGGACACCCTAACAAAGGTTTATCTGAAAAGTTGGAAACTGAGGCAAAAGGTACTTGGAGAGCGCCCGATTAGGCACACTGAAGATCTATTGGTTGCACCCAGAAGGAATTAAGAAACGCCCAGAAGGAATTAAGAAACGCCCAGAAGGAATTAAGAACGCCCAGAAGGAATTAAGAGACACCCAGAAGGAATTAAGAGACACCCAGAAATGGCCATAAAGGAAGGGACCTAGAGGCACTGGGCAGAGACCGGGAAGGGCTCCTCCATCGATGTGCTCTCCCACTCTCTTCTCCCCGTTCGAAATACTGCGTGAGACTCTGCCTGAGTGAAGCTGTCACTCTGCCTGTGAGCCGAACCTCTGAGGCCTCGTTCCTGACCGAGGCGCTGCAGCAGCGTGTTCCTGTCCAGTGTGTGTGTCTGCGGGCGCGGGTCTCCCGGTACCTGCCTACGGTTCCGGAAACCACCAGGACTCTGGTAAATAAACCTTGGCATTCGTGCATTCTAACTCTTGTGTCTGTGTTCAGTTTATGCTCGGTCAATTTTAGTTAAGTTCTGTGGGCAACCCCTATGAGTCCAGTTCTCTGGCTGAGGGACCCCAGAAACCTGTGCAGAAGTTCCCACCTGAGGGTGAGTTGGAACAGGGGGTATGCAGGAGGCAGCTGACCTCCCATCAGTGTCTCTCCCTCCGCCTTCCTTTCTGTAAAAAATCAGTAAAATATATTTTTAAAAAACACAAAACTTCTCTAAATCTGCCCTTTGGTTTCTTTGTCCCACAAACCGTGGGGGGAGTGTCTGACCGACTGTCTGACCGACCAACCGACCGACCGACCGAGCTCTGGCTTCTGCGGCGCCGGCACAGCCAGGTGGGGCGGCAGCACCGAGGCCCCTGGCTGAGACGCCGGAGTTACACACAGCAGCACCCCACGTGCTGCCCAGGGGCTGGGGCATCCGGCCGGGCACCGAAAGGCTGCAAGTTCGAGACCCGGTCAGGGCACTCGCCTCAGTGCCAGGCTCCCTCCTGGTCAGGGCATGCCCGGGAGGCCGCCGACCGACGCTCCTGTCTCCCATCAATGCTTCTCTCTCTTCCCTCCCTCCTCCTCTCTCTAGAAGCAACTTTAAAACGTCCCTGGGTAAAATAATAAAATAAAATAAAATAAAATAAAATAAAATAAAATGTCCCTGGGTAAGTACTGACGCAAACAGACAACAGCCAGGTTCAGGTGCAAAACCCAGAGGTTAACAATTCAGTGCCTCCTGCACCCCGAGGAGAGACCCCAGGACCCCCATTCGCCCGGGAGAGGCCCACATTGCACCGTGAACACACACCAGGGGAGGGTCAGAGGCTGGGAGGGGGGGGGCAGGGAGCTCGGCACACAGGGCGGCAGGGACACGGGCCTGCCTCCGCCTGTTCGCCGTGGACGGTGTCACAGGACTCACCAGGCGACCGGGAAATACAAGGAGCACCCCGAGACACGGCTCCGGGCCTGTCCAAGCCTGAGCGAGCCGATAGCGAGGACGCCCTCTCCCTTTATGCCCTTTGGTGCCTTTGTCCTCCAATAAGGACCTTTCTTGGGCTCTGCGAAAAGCCCCAAGGGTTGGGGTGCTGGACGTGAGACCTCACCCAAGGCCTGGCCTGGGCCAGCGCCGCCACCGCTCTGGGGTTGTGCATGGCCCGTGGCTTAGGCCGCGGTAAGATGGGGGATTTAGGTGTTGTGGGGTCGAGCCCTGGGTTCAAAATAAGACCACCGGAGGCTGATTAATTAATTTTTTAAAAAAGCAGGAAGGCTTTATTGAGCTGGCCAGGACAGCCGTGAGAGCACCACACACAGGTGGTCTCACACGACTGCCCCGTTTCAGGGGTGTTAGGTCGAGGCTGGGGGGGAGCCCAGAGCTGATACAAGCATCTGCAAGGCCCCTGAATCCTGCCCAGACTCTCAATTTTTTAAAAATATAATCAAAGAGTCTGGAATATAAGGTTCTCCCTCCTCCCAACTGGTGGGCGGAGTTATGACATTACTGGCACCTGCCACAGAGACAGCTCCAAGACATTGAGCCATCAATCAGCGCCTGCCAAAGTGTCCTGGAGCCCACCCCTTCCTGTTCTGCCCTGGGTCCAACCCTCTCCTGTTCCTCTCCCTAAAATGACCCCAGACCAGCCACGTGCTGCTGATCCTCCATGTCCAGGTGGCAGCCCGGCCGGGTCCATCCCCCTCCCAACTCCTTCAATCCTGACTTCTCTACCTCCGTAATGAGTCCCGCTCATCACTGGGGAGTAAACTTTACTTTAAAACTCCTGGGTGGTCAGTTTCCTGCGCCTCAAACCTTACAAGGGGTAGGCAGTCCCTTTTAAAGGTTCAAACCACAGGGATTTCCCTTTGTTCTAAATTCTAAATCCTAAAGAATATGTTCTAAAGACTGGGGACAGCCTGCAGGGTCTGCTCCCAGTCACATCCGGCTGGACAGTGGAATGTGGCCCTGACTTGCGATAGCGATAGCACAGAAGCAGAGCTCAGCGGTTAGTCTCTAAAGGCTATCTCCAGTGTCTATCCCTGAAGCCACAGTGGGAATCAGTCTCCTGTGGTCCTGGTCCCAGGCGAGGGAAAATTGCCTTAGCCTCCAGGTCTCCACCTGGAAGCTGAGGTAAATATCCTGTGTTTAATCAGATGCCAGAGCCAGACTTTGCAGGGTTAAAATTCAAACAGCAGTTTTTACCAAAGTGAGGTTGCCACTATATTTCATTAGGTAAACGGCCTTGCAGGACCAGATCGTTAAGGAAGGGGCAGAGATTCTAGGCTAACAGGGATGTGCATTAGGACACTGACTAGGTACAGGGTGAGGGTGCTAGCTCCCCCCCCCCAGGAGCTGCCCGAGGAGACCGGCACGGACTCCCCGACCGTGGGCATGAGTCTGGCAAAGGGGATCCGACTCCCTTTCAGAGCTTCTGTGGCTGACAAGCCCACACAGCCCCGACCCCTCTGCAGGGCCACACGCGGCTCCCGGCCGGCTGTGGGCGGAAGGGGCCACGAGGGGCCCCGGACTGGCTCCCGGGAGGCCTGCCTGGCGGCTGTGCCAACTCAAAGCCCTGAAATAACCACCGAGGATGGTCTGAACATTCCATGTTTAACTCAGACAATTATGGTGGGAGTCAGGTCCCAGGCCGGAATTTCCCCCGACAAAGATCAACTCCGATCTTCCCTGAGCCCAGTGGCCTCTTCGCCTCAGAGGTAACGTATCTGGGAGACTTCTGGGTAAACTGGAACCTCCCGCCCTCCCCCCCCCCCTCAGGGCACAGCGAATAGCGCCGGATGCTTCCTCCTTGTTCCTGTTATCCTGATCCCCATCAGCTGCCAGCTCTGGCTGCTGCGGCAAGAAGCACCTGTCCATCATGTCACTTAGCCAACCCCAGAGGTCCCCTGCTTTGCTTTCTCCCGCCTCCCTGACCTATCACCAATGGATTTCAAGGAACCCATTTCCCTTTGGATGGTAATTCCTAACTGGAGGTGTGAACGCCCCACTCTCCGGAGCTTTATCTCAGTTCCTTTAGGTTCTGCTTCCCGGCAGAGGTCGCCAGCCTGGCGCAAATACACGCACACAATTCCTGACGGGCCTGAATGTTTCTCCGGTAACACCCCCTTCTGGATGGCCCATCCCAGCCCAAACCAGGGCCTGGGGAGGAGAGACAGGCCTGAGGGAGTGACGGGGACAGGAAGCCCCCGCAGCCCCCCCAGGCCTCTCTCTGCTGGCTCTTGTGCAACCCGACACGCCCTCCAGGAACTCAGCCAGGACACAAGTTTGGGGAAAACGAAACTGCCGGGAACAGGCACAGCACCGCGGCCCACTCTCCTGCATCCGGCCCGCACGCCACCCGCTCCGCTCCGCACCATGAACCCCAACTCCCAGTCCTTCCTCGCCGGCGCCCGCTCCGCGCTGGCTCCGGCCTACGAGGTGCTCAAGGAGGAGCACGAGGTGTCTGTGCTGGGGGGTCCCCAGGGCGCGATGCCCGCGAGGACCACGACCGTGATCAACGTCCAGACGGACACGGTGGTGCCCGACCACATCGTATGGTCCCTGTTCAACACCCTCTTCTTCAACCCCTGCTGCCTCGGCTTCGTGGCCTTCGCCTTCTCCGTGAAGGTGGGTGTGCGGGGGGGGGGGGGGGCTCCCCGGAAAGCCGTGCCCGCCCCCCGTCTGCTGGCCCGACGGCCTCGGGATGGGAGCCCGTGTATGTGTGTGAGAGAGAGTGTGTGTGTGTGTGTGTGTGAGAGAGAGAGTGTGTGTGTGTGTGAGAGAGAGAGTGTGAGAGTGTCACGGTGAGGCTGCCTGGGGACTCCGAGGGCAGAAAGCACACTCCTGACTCGCCATGTGGCCTCGGGGCTCTGGCTAGAGAACCAGAGTCCTCAGAGAACCCTGAGCCCCGGGGGAGGGGGCTGAGGTTCTGGGAGGCTGAGGGCTGTGAGGGGGCCCCCCTGGCCTGGCCTGGCCGCTGAGGCTCCAGGGAACGGGAGGGGTGTCCGGCCTGGCTGAGGCAGGTGGAGGCTGGTCTGGGCTGGAGCAGCCAGGGGCGGCCTGAGTCACAGCACCTGGCTGTGCCAGGGCCCGCCCAGACCCTCACCCTCTTCTCCCCCAGTCTAGGGACCGGAAGATGGTGGGGGACGTGATTGGGGCCCAGAGCTATGCGTCCACCGCCAAGTGCCTCAACATCTGGGCCGTGGTCCTGGGCCTCCTCGTGGTCCTGGCCGTCATCGTCGTGGTCATCGTGGTTTTCACCACTTCTCTGAACCGCGGCTACGTGGGGTCCTTTCACCTGCCCCAAGACTGAGGCCCGCCCCTTCCCGCTGCGCAGACGCCCGGGGTCCGCGAGGGCGCTCAATAAAGCACATGTGTGAGACAGGCTGTGTTTTCTGCTGGGAGGGTCCTGGGAGAGCCGGCTGCCCTGACACCGAGCCCCCCTGCTCCTGCCCCCCTGCCCCTGCTCCTGTCCAGCCCCTGCCCAGACCCTGCCCCTGCCCCCGCCTGTGCCCCCTGCCCCTGCCCAGCCTCTGCCCCTGCCCCTGCCCCTGCCCCCTGCCTGTGCCCCCTGCCCCTGCCCAGCCTCTGCCCCTGCCCAGCCTCTGCCCCTGCCCCTGCCCAGCCTCTGCCCCTGCCCCTGCCCCTGCCCAGCCTCTGCCCCTGCCCCTGCCTGCTGCCCAGAGGCCAGGAGGGCTGGATCCCAAGGCGGAGCGGCCAGGCGGTCCTCCCAGCAGGAGCCTGTCCTCTCCCGGCCCTCGCCCCCCCCACGAAGTGAGCCGAAGGTCGGTCAGAGCCCCTCCGCCCGCCCCGCCCGCCTCGCGGCGCCCCTCCTGGCTCCTCCCGGAGCGGGGGGGGGGGGGGGGGCAATGCCAGTGACGCCGGAACTCCCCCCGCCCCGCCCACCCCGCGGCGCCCCGCCTCTCCGACCCGCCCACGTGCCCTCCCCTGGGGCCCCGCCCACCACCTTCCGTCCCCGCGTTTTCCCACCCGCCGGCCCCCTGCGCCCACAGCCCGGGCTCGGGGATCTGGGTCCGGGGCGAGGGGCGGCGCCCTGGGCCGCGCGGGAGCCCCTGACTTCCGGGGCGCGGCGGCTGGCTGGGGCCGCGGGAGCCCCGGGCCGCCGTCACCGGGTCTGCGGAGGCGCCGTGGCAGATTCCCACCGACCCTCCCGACACCTGGCCGAGCACGGCCGCCTTTTAAAGTGTCGGCCTGCGGACTGAAAGGCCCCGGGTTCCATTCCGGTCAAGGGCATGAGCCTGGGTTGCGAGCACATCCCCGGCGCGGGGGGGGGTGTGTGTGTGCGCAGGAGGCAGCTGGTTGATGCTTCTCATCGATGTTCTGCCTCTCCCCTCACTCCTCTCTGAAAGAAATCAATAAAACACACACAAAACAACAGACACGTTCTGGGGGGAGGATTAAAACCACACACACACACACACACACACAGGAAGGAGAAAACCAAGAGTGTAACAAGGTGTGAAGCCCCTGCACACGTGACCCCCCGGGACCGGGAGGCCGGCGCCGCCATCGAACCAGCTCCCGGCCTGTGTGCGAGGTGAGGGACGGGCATGGCCCCGAGCAGGGCTGCGAGTCACAGGCCCGCCCGGCCTCCTGGGCGCAGACAGTCACCGAGAATCAAACCCCCCCCAGCTCTCCGATCCCCGGAGAAGGGGCCGGGGAGCAGCTCGATTTGGGTGACCTGGCGGCTGCGTGCCCGTGAGCCGGAGCGGGGCCCCAGCCGCCGAAGCCGGCAGGCCGCGTGGCCGGCGGTGGGCGGGAGCCAGTGCCGCCGCAGCAGAGGAGGGAGGGAGGGAGCCTCCTTTGTTCAGTTGTAGGTATTCCCGTCTCCTTGCTGGCAGCGGCCCGCCCACCCTGCCTCTCCCTCCATTTCCCTCTCTCCTTGGCGGGGGGGCGGGGCGCCCCAATCTGTTCCCAGGCCACTCAGACCTTCACTGCGTCCGTCCACCTGGCCGCCCGCCCTGCCTTCCTGTTGAACACCAGCCAGGTGGTGCGAGGCTGTAGGAGCTGCCTCGGAGGATGAGTCTGGCAAAGGGGACCCACTCCGTTTCAGAGCTTCTCTGGCTGACAAACCCAACACAGCCCCGACCCCACAGCTGCGCTCTGCAGAGCCAGACGCGGCTCCCCTTCTGGGGACTCCAGACACTAGCGCGGCAGCGGCCCATCCCAGCCTAAACCAGGGCCTGGGGGAGCAGAGACAGGCCTGATGAGTGACCGGGACAGGAAGCCCCCCCAGCCCCCCAGGCCTCTCTCTGCTGGCTCTTGTGCAACCCGACACGCCCTCGGCCGACACGCCCTCCAGGAACTCAGCCAGGACACAAGTTTGGGGAAAACGAAACTGCCGGGAACAGGCACAGCACCGCGGCCCACTCTCCTGCATCCGGCCCGCACGCCACCCGCTCCGCTCCGCACCATGAACCCCAACTCCCAGTCCTTCCTCGCCGGCGCCCGCTCCGCGCTGGCCCCGGCCTACGAGGTGCTCAAGGAGGAGCACGAGGTGTCTGTGCTGGGGGGTCCCCAGGGCGCGATGCCCGCGAGGACCACGACCGTGATCAACGTCCAGACGGACACGGTGGTGCCCGACCACATCGTATGGTCCCTGTTCAACACCCTCTTCTTCAACCCCTGCTGCCTCGGCTTCGTGGCCTTCGCCTTCTCCGTGAAGGTGGGTGTGCGGGGGGGGGGGGGGGGGGGCTCCCCGGAAAGCCGTGCCCGTCCCCCCGTCTGCTGGCCCGACGGCCTCGGGATGGGAGCCCGTGTATGTGTGTGTGTGTGTGTGTGTGAGAGAGAGTGTGTCTGTGTGAGAGAGAGAGTGTGAGAGTGTCACGGTGAGGCTGCCTGGGGACTCCGAGGGCAGAAAGTACACTCCTGACTCGCCATGTGGCCTCGGGGCTCTGGCTAGAGAACCAGAGTCCTCAGAGAACCCTGAGCCCCGGGGGAGGGGGCTGAGGTTCTGGGAGGCTGAGGGCTGTGAGGGGGCCCCCCTGGCCTGGCCTGGCCGCTGAGGCTCCAGGGAACGGGGAGGGGTGTCCGGCCTGGCTGAGGCAGGTGGAGGCTGGTCTGGGCTGGAGCAGCCAGGGGCGGCCTGAGTCACAGCACCTGGCTGTGCCAGGGCCCGCCCAGACCCTCACCCTCTTTTCCCCCAGTCTAGGGACCGGAAGATGGTGGGGGACGTGATTGGGGCCCAGAGCTATGCGTCCACCGCCAAGTGCCTCAACATCTGGGCCGTGGTCCTGGGCCTCCTCGTGGTCCTGGCCGTCATCGTCGCGGTCATCGTGGTTTTCACCACTTCTCTGAACCGCGGCTACGTGGGGTCCTTTCACCTGCCCCAAGACTGAGGCCCGCCCCTTCCCGCTGCGCAGACGCCCGGGGTCCGCGAGGGCGCTCAATAAAGCACATGTGTGAGACAGGCTGTGTTTTCTGCTGGGAGGGTCCTGGGAGAGCCGGCTGCCCTGACACCGAGCCCCCCTGCTCCTGCCCCCCTGCCCTCCCCCGCTGCCCGCTGCCCAGAGGCCAGGAGGGCTGGATCCCAAGGCGGGAGCGGCCAGGCCATCCTCCGCAGGAGCATCCTTCCGCTCCCCGCCCTCCACTTAGCCCCGCCCACGGTGGGAGCGGGGAGGGGAGTGGGCGTGGTCAGGGCCTCTCCACCGGCCCGGCCCGCCTCCAGGTTCTCCGCGGGGCGACGGGAGCACTCAGCCCGGCCGCCCCCCACCACTTAGCCCCGCCCCCGACCACTTAGCCCCGCCCACCGGCCTGGACCCGCCTGCCTATTGGGTCCCGCGGACTGGCCGCCGCACGCAATGCTGCTTCTCTTCCGGTCTTCGGCGGCGTCCTCCAGGTTCAGCCCAGAAGAACCAGCCGCCCTCCTTTCCGGCTCCCGCCCTCGCGGGGCCCCGCCCACATCCTGCCCCGCCCACCAGGCCCACGCCCGCTTCCGGCCCCGCTCTCCCTTCCCGCCAATGGGATCAAGCAAACTCCCGGCCCCGCCCAGGTCCCCTCCGCGCCCACCGTCCAAGCCCCGCCCACGTCCGGCCGCAGCGGGCTCCGCGGTCGCACGGCAGCTCGTGGCCGCGTCCCCGCGAGCCCGGCCGGCGGCCCTGGCCCTGCCGCGGCCCCGCGCCCGCGGGGAGCCCCGCGCGTCCGGGGAAGTGCTCCGCCGACCAGGCCACGGCTCTGCCGGCCGCTCCGGGGCGTCTCCCGCGGCGGCGGGTGCGCCGGGTGCGATCAGGCGCTGCAGGTGGTCACAGGGGGTGGGGGTCCCTCCCTCCGGCGGCGGCGGGTCTGACCGGAGAACCGGGGACCCGCTGCTGCCTCAGGCCGGAGCCCGCAGGCCCGCCTCGCCCGCCGCTGGAGCCCAGGCGGCCGGGCCCAGCGGCAAGGCTCCCGCAGAGGGCCACCTCCCGACACCAGCCCGGCGCCGTGCAGGGCCTGGGGCCGAGGTGAGGACGGCTCCAGCCCACCGGCACCCGGGCCCTGCAAAGGCTCAGCTGAAGCCCCTGGCACCGGCCGCTCCAGCCAGGGGCCCAGGCGGATTGGTGGGAGGCACGGTGCTTCCTCTCAGGGTTTGTCCATCGAGGCTGAGGCCTCTGTCCCTCCCGAGGAGCAGGGACAGAGCTGGGGGGCGGCTCAGGAGGGCCTGGGGCCTGGGCTGCATCCCTGCACCCCACGTGCAGACACCGCGGCCTCCAGAGAACCCGCCGCCGTCCTCACCCAGCACCGCTTCTCCCAGCCACTCGGAGTCCGGGAGGCTTGTCCTGGGGCCAAGGGTGTCTGGCCCAGTGCCCCTTGGGTCAGGGCCAGACACTGGGGAGGAGGGACCCCTCCTGGGCCCTGGTCCAGCCACTGCTCCCAGCTGGAGGCCAGAAACCAGGAACATCTGAGCAAGTGCCAGGACCCCTCGGAGCCGCAAGGGGGGCTGCGTCGGGCGGGCGGGGGACCGGGCAGTGCCCCGGCCCAGGGATTGCCAGCACGGCCACATGCAGTGCACTTTATTGAGCTCAGCTGCAGACAGGTGTGTGCACAGGTGCAGGTGAAGGGGTGGGCGCCAGGGGGCGGGGCACGCGGGCGGTGAGGGTGGGGAGGACTCAGCACCTGCCGGCGCGGGGACTAGAAGCGACCTCCGTAGTTTTTCTGCACTGAACCGATGGCTCCCGGGAGCAGGATGACCAGCAGTACGATGAGTCCGACGGTCATCAGGAGGCCCAGGATCACGGCCCAGATGTTGAGGCACTTGGCGGTGGACGCATAGCTCTGGGCCCCCATCACGTCCCCCACCATCTTCCGGTCCCTAGACTGGGGGAGAAGAGGGTGAGGGTCTGGGCGGGCCCTGGCACAGCCAGATGCTGTGACTCAGGCCGCCCCTGGCTGCTCCAGCCCAGACCAGCCTCCACCTGCCTCAGCCAGGCCAGACACCCCTCCCCGTTCCCTGGAGCCTCAGCGGCCAGGCCAGGGGGGCCCCCTGACAGCCCTCAGCCTCCCAGAACCTCAGCCCCCTCCCCCGGGGCTCAGGGTTCTCTGAGGACTCTGGTTCTCTAGCCAGAGCCCTGAGGCCACATGGCGAGTCAGGAGTGTACTTTCTGGGCGATCAAAGGCTCTCCCTCGGAGTCCCCAGGCAGCCTCACCATGACCAGAACACACACACACACACACACACACACTCTCTCTCTCTCTCTCTCTCTCTCTCTCTCACATGCGCGCGCGCACACACACAAACACACACACACGCGCACACACACACGTGGGCTCCCATCCCGAGGCCGTCGGGCCAGCAGACGGGGGACGGGCACGGCTTTCCGGGGAGCCCCCCCCCCCCCCCCCCGCACACCCACCTTCACGGAGAAGGCGAAGGCCACGAAGCCGAGGCAGCAGGGGTTGAAGAAGAGGGTGTTGAACAGGGACCACACGATGTGGTCGGGCACCACCGTGTCCGTCTGGACGTTGACCACGGTGGACATCACGGTCCCGGGGTGCCGGGGCGCCCCCATGTTGATCACCTCGTGCTCCTCCTTGAACATCTCCGGTCTGGGAAGCGGTCGGTCCCGGGTGAAGGAGGTGGATGCGTCCTGAGGCAGAGCCGGGAGCCGTGTGGGGCCGCTGCTGGGACCGCCCAGGCCCCTCCCTCCCCGGGGGTTGAGATTTCTTTAAGTTTCCATTTCCTGATCTTTTCAGAATTAATGGTCTGAAGAGCTGGGCTGGGTGGTGGGGGCGGGGGGGACGCAGGCTTGTGCTTTGCTCGGAGGGGGCGGGAGGAAATCCTGAGGTCTGCCACCTTCCTGTGGCTTCCTGCCCGTCACCCATCCCAGCCTGGTCTCACCCCCCACGCGGGGCCCTACCTGTGGTCCCTGGGCCCCACGCTCCACCCAGCGTGAGCCCCGCCCCAGCCACCCGCCCTGGCACAGGCCTCTCCTCGGAGCACAAGCTGCCGGTGGGTGGGTGCCCATGGTTGGGCCTGGGCCCAGCAGCCCTGGTGCCGGTCCAGGGCCCCGCAAGCCCTTGCTGTCGGGGCGGGGCTGTGAGCAGGGCCTGGGCACTGGATCGGAGGGGGCGGCTGGGCGGGAGAGGGGGTGGCAGGGAGGCGGGGCGGGGGCACAGGGCAGCATCTCACATCAGGGCCAAATGCAGGGGGCGGGGCGGGGGGTGCAGGGCAGCCGGGCCTCCGGGACCCTCTGCCTCCCGCCTCAGCGCACCCCGGGCTTTGGCCAGGGAAGGTGCCACCTGTGTGCAGCCGCCCCGTGTGGTCGCCGCTGGTGGGACCCTGCCCTGTCCCTCCCGCACCTGCCTCCCGGTCTTCGGGGACCACACACACAGCGGCTTGCCTGGCGGCTCCCGGGTTCCACCCCACTGGCTCCCGCTCCTCAGCCTCCGGGCTGGGCCTGCCCCGCGGGGACGCCATCCCGTGAAGTGTCCTCGGGCTTGGAAGGCTCCGTAAGGAAGAAGAGTTTTATTTAAAATTATGTTTTATTGGCCGGGACCGGTTTGGCTTAATGGATAGAGCGTCGGCTTGGGGATTGAAGGGTCCCGGGTTCGATTCTGGTCAAGGGCCTGTATCTTGGTTGCGGGCATATCCCCAGTAGGGGATGTGCAAGAGGCAGCTGATCGATGACTCTCTCTCATCGATGTTTCTAACTCTCTCTCCCTTCCTCTCTGTATGAAATCAATAAAATATATTTTCTTAAAAATTATATTTTATTGCCGAAGCCAGTGTGGCTCAGTGGATAGCGCGTCGGTCTGCGGACTGAAAGGTCCCAGGTTCCATTCCGGGCAAGGGCATGTACGTTGGTTGTGGGCACATCCTCGGTGAGGGGTGTGCAGGAGGCAGCTGGTCGATATTTCTCTCTCATCGACGTTTCTAGTGCTCTCTCTCCCTTCCTCTCTGTAAAAAATCAATAAAATAAAAATATATTTTATTGAGTTTTTACAGAGAGGAAGGGAGAGTTAAAAACATCGATGGGAGAAAAACATCGACCAGCTGCCTCCTGCACACCCCTCACCGAGGATGTGCCCGCAACCAAGGTACATGCCCTTGACCGGAATCAAACCCGAGACCTTCAGTCCGCTGGCCGACGCGCTATCCACTGAGCCACACCGGCCAGGGCGGAAAAGTAATTTCTGTGGGTTTGGAACATCCGTCGATACCGTGTTTGATGATGTGTGCAGGTTCTATGTCCGATGCGTTGGTTCTGATGAGATAGGTCGTTGGCAACCACCCTGCTGCTTCTGTCTTGCTCTTGGTTACCGGGGCCACTGCCGCCAGTACGCACGTGGACAGAAATGGGGGCCCTCCCGGGAGGGGGTGTCCATGGGGACCAGGGGGCGCCTGTGTTTCTGGGGGCGAGCACCGGGTCCCAGTGTGTGTCTCCCACCCTCGGGCCCAGGCCAGGTTACAGCCACGGGGGCTGACAGGTCCTCCCTCCCTCCAGCTGATGGACGCAGGTAACTCCACCTGCGGCCGGACATCCCTGAGCTCTGAACCACCATCCGCACCTGCCAGACACCCGGAGCCCCCAGGTCCCTCAGCACAGGCCTTACAGGACCCTCCGACCAGCCGTGCTGAGTGCCCCAAGCCCGTCCCCCCTCTCCTCCCCTTAAAGGGGCCTGTACCCCGCCCGCCCTCCCTCCCTCCGTGTCTCTCTCTCTCTCTCTCTCAGCAGCTGGCAGGGGTGCTCTTCTCTCCAGTAAAGCCTGTGCCCGGCCTCCGGGTCTCCGGCCCCCCGTTTCATCTTTCAGGGGCCACTGCCCATGCGCCCCTCCCCGCAGGCTCGCTGTCCGGCCGGCCAGGCTGGGCGGTGTGCCGGCGTCTCCCCGTCTGGGGACCAGTGAGGCCGCCCCCTCGGCCCGCAGACTCCCGGGGCGGCCGAGCTGAGGCCCTGGGCGGCGGGGGTCCCCACAGGGACCAGAGCTGCCGTGTCGCCGCCGGACACGGGCCTCCCCCCGGCGGCCGCTCCCACTCTCACCGCGGCCACCGCTTCCTGCCTCAGGAATCCTGACGGAAGGATGACGTGTGCCCCCTGTGTAACCGCCGCCCCCGCCTGCGCCCGGTCCCGCACGCTGTTCCCGCCGCCAGGGCCCGCCGCTCCGTCCACCTGTATTTGTGTGTGTGTGTGTTTTTTAAAAATATATCTCATTGGTGTTTTACAGAGCAAGGGAGAGGGACAGAGAGCTAGAAACATCGATGAGAGAGAATCATGGATCAGCTGCCTCCTGCACACCCCCCACTGGGGATGCGCCCGCCACCAAGGTCCACGCCCCTGACCGGAATCGAACCCGGGACCCTTCCGTCCGCAGGCTGGCGCTCTATCCACTGAGCCGCGCCGGTCTCGGCCTCCGTTTTCCTGGGTCTTTGGAGTCCTCGGGTGAGGGGTCCTCGGCGGGAAGCCTCAGGCCCCCGTGCTGTCTCGGAGGGCGAGCCGCCGCCTCCGTGTGAACGGCTACGGCGTGTCGCCCACCGTGTCGCCCGCCGTCCGCCGATGGCTCGGGCGCGTCCACACCTCCGCTCTGCAGGCCGTGCTCTGAGCAGGGTGTGCGGGAGCCGTCCGGTGGGCGCGCTGGGTGCTGGACAGCCCTGGGCCCGTGGCGGGTCCCCCGCACCCCTCTCTCTGGGTCCCCGCACCCTCTCTCTGTGGGTCCCCGCACCCTCTCTCTGAGGGTCCACGCACCCTCTCTCTGAGGGTCCCCGCACCCTCTCTCTGAGGGTCCCCCGCACCCCTCTCTCTGAGGGTCCCCCGCACCCCCTCTCTCTGAGGGTCCCCCGCACCCCTCTCTCTGAGGGTCCCCACACCCCCTCTCTCTGAGGGTCCCCGCACCCCCTCTCTCTGAGGGTCCCCGCACCCCTCTCTCTGAGGGTCCCCCGCACCCCTCTCTCTGAGGGTCCCCCGCACCCCTCTCTCTGAGGGTCCCCCGCACCCCTCTCTCTGAGGGTCCCCGCACCCCCTCTCTCTGAGGGTCCCCGCACCCCCTCTCTCTGAGGGTCCCCGCACCCCCTCTCTGTGAGGGTCCCCACACCTCCTCTCTCTGAGGGTCCCCCACACCCCTCTCTCTGAGGGTCCCCGCACCCCTCTCTGTGAGGGTACCCACACCCCTCTCTTTGAGGGTCCCCTGCACCCTCTCTCTGTGAGGGTCCCCGCACCCCCTCTCTCTGAGGGTCCCCGCACCCCTCTCTCTGAGGGTCCCCGCACCCCTCTCTCTGAGGGTCCACGCACCCCTCTCTCTGAGGGTCCCCGCACCCCCTCTCTGTGTGAGGGTCCCCGCACCCCCTCTCTCTGAGGGTCCCCGCACCCCTCTCTCTGAGGGTCCCCGCACCCCCTCTCTCTGAGGGTCCCCGCACCCCTCTCTGTGTGAGGGTCCCCCGCACCCCCTCTCTCTGAGTGTCCCCCGCACCCCTCTCTGTGAGGGTCCCCCGCACCCCCTCTCTCTGAGGGTCCCCCGCACCCCTCTCTCTGAGGGTCCCCACACCCCTCTCTGTGTGAGGGTCCCCGCACCCCCTCTCTCTGAGGGTCCCCGCACCCCCTCTCTCTGAGGGTCCCCGCACCCCTCTCTGTGAGGGTCCCCGCACCCCCTCTCTCTGAGGGTCCCCGCACCCCCTCTCTCTGAGGGTCCCCCGCACCCCCTCTCTCTGAGGGTCCCCGCACCCCCTCTCTCTGAGGGTCCCCGCACCCCCTCTCTGTGAGGGTCCCCGCACCCCCTCTCTGTGAGGGTCCCCGCACCCCCTCTCTGTGTTGCCCTGAGCGCACTGTCCCCTCACTGAGCCGCTTCCCTGGGTGTGGAGTGCCGGTGGCCGGGGCCATGTCCCGCGGTGTCCGGTCCGGCGTGGCCATGTCCCCGGCCTCGGCTGCCCACGAGGTGTCACCGCCCAGGAGACCCGTGTGGTCCTGGGCTGTGACCGTCCGTGTCCGGCCTGGGGTTTCCACGGAGGCCGGCGTGGCCTCGGCTCCTTTCCTGTGTCACCAGAGGCCGGTGTCCCTCAGCCCGGCCTGCACCCTCTCACCCCCTCACCCTATCCGCCTGCCGGCGTCGTCCTCCCCGCTGCTCCCGCTCCTAGCGCCCCCCGGAGGCAGAGGCGGCCGGCCGGTGCTCCCGCTGCGGGGGACAGGCTGCTCCTGCGGTCAGTGCCCCTCACAGTGACCGGTCGTCCTGGGCACTCCGCCATGAGGGCCGAGGGCTTTTATACATACAGATTGCTTTCGGAGTGGAAGGGAGAGGGAGAGAGAGAAGCATCCCTGATGAGAGAGAATCATGGATCCAGTGCCTCCTGCACGCCCCCCACTGGGGACGAGCCTGAAACCTGGGCCTGTGCCTTGACCGGGAATCGAACCAGGGACCCTTCAGCCCACAGGCAGACGCTCCCTCCCTGAGCCAAGCCGGCCAGGACTCCCCGGCTATTTGCCTTCCTCTCGGCTGGCTTGTGCCCCCTCGCCCCCACCCAGGCGGGCTCCCACAGAACCTGCTGGGCAGGTGGCTGCTGCCCTCCCCGCTCTGCCCCGGGCTGGGCGGTGGCTCCCAGGACCGGGCCCGGCCC